CGCTCCTATCTAGAATTATCTTTACAATCCTTTCCTCTACATCTCTGGAACTTTTCGGAGGCCGACAGAAAACTCCCAACAGGGTGACCTCTCCTTTCCTGTTTCTAACCTCAGCCCATACTACCTCAGTCGAAGAATCCTCATCAAACGTCCTTTCTGCCACCGTAATACTGTCCTTGACTAACAGTGCCACACCTCCCCCGATCTTACAGAAACATCTCAACCCTGAAACCTGCAACAACCATTCCTTTCCCTGCTCTATCCATGTCTCTGATATGGCCACAACATCGAAGTCCGAGGTACCAACACATGCTGCAAGTTCACCCACCTTATTCCGGATGCTCCTGGCATTGAAGTAGACACACGTCAAACGACCTTCCTGCCTGCCGGTACACTCCTGCGACCTTGAAACCTTATTCATGACCTCACTACTCTCAACCTCCTGTACACTGGAGCTACAATTCAGGTTCCCATCCCCCTGCTGAATTAGTTTAAACCCTCCCGAAAAGCATTAGCAAATTTCCCCCCCAGGATATTGGTACCCCTCTGGTTCAGGTGTAGACCATCCCATTTGTAGGGGTCCCACCTACCCCAGAATGAGCCCCAATTATCCAGGTATCTGAATCCCTCCCTCCTGCACCATTCCTTTGGCCACGTGTGCAACTGTTCTTTCTCCCTATTCCTCGCCTCGCTAGCACGTGGCACGGGTAACAAACCAGAGATAACAACTCTGTTTGTTCTAGCTCTAAGCTTCCACCCTAGCTCCTTGAATTTCTGCCTTACATCCCCATCCCTTTTCCTACCTATGTCATTGGTGCCTATGTGGACCCTCCCCTTTAAGGATCCCGAAAACACGATCCGAGACATCACGGACCCTGGCACCTGGGAGGCAACACACCAACCATGAGTCTCTCCTTCCCACAGAATCTCCTATCTGTCCCCCTAACTATGGAGTCCCCAATGACTAATGCTCTCCTCCTCTCCCCGCTTCCCTTCTGAGCAACAGGGACAGACTCTGTGCCAGAGACCTGTACCCCATGGCTTACCCCTGGTAAGTCGTCCCTCTCAACAGTATCGAAAACTGTATACTTGTTATTGAGGGGAACGGCCACAGAGGATCCCCGCACTGTCTGCCTGTTCCCCTTCCGTCCCCTGACTAACCCATCCACCTTTTTCCTGTACCGGAGGTGTGACTACCTCCCTGTAACTCCTCTCAATTACCCCCTCAGCCTCCCGAACGATCCGAAGTTCATCCAGCTCCAGCTCCAGTTCCCCAACACGGTTTCCGATGAGCCGGAGTTGGGTGCACTTCCCGCAGATGAAGTCAGTGTGGACACTCGTGGTGACCCTTACCTCCCACATTCTACAGGAGGAGCATGCAACTGCCCTAACATCCATTCCCACTTCTGAATTCTGAAAAAAACAGTAACCTTACCAAATCGGCGCTCAGAACCTTTTTTTTTGGTTAGAGGAGGAGAAGGATGGGTGGGACACACTACCTAAGTAGTGTTTCGGGTAAAGCAACCGCCGAAATATATTACGTCACTTACTCAGCCGTCCCGTGTCCGCTCCTGCTCAGCGTGCGCTCCGCCTATTCACGAGGTAAGTTTTTAAAGGATTAACTTACCTTCCCGGCAGCCCCCTGGTCCTCGCTCTCACTGCTCCCGCTGCTGCTGCAAAAATGATTCTATGAACACTTCCTAATCTCACTACAAGAGCTTTAGCCTGTCGATTTATACATCTTTTCAGCCATCAGAATGGTGGCAAGTAAGAGAAGCTGAGAAGAGGCATACAGAGATACTGTAGAAAAAAAAAGATTTTAAGGAAATTATCAAAGTAACATTCCGGGGGTGCAAACGCACTCCTGTCTCATTCATCCCTTCCCCATTTCTTCCCCCTCACCTCTACCTTGCTCTCTAGTAGAAGGGAAGCAAGCATTGAAGCAAACAGCAACATTTCTCATGAAGCCCCAGTTAACGTCCACAACCTGCATATACAATTAATTATTCAATTATCTGGTTTCTTTCTTTCTCTCCTCATGTAAAATTCAATTAATGCCTCATTTGTTTCACACAGGTTGTAGAAAATGAAGAAAATATTTTTGTGGCAGAGTGAGTCAGTGGCGAGCACTGCTGCCTCACAGCACCAGGGACCCAGGTTCAATTCCACTCTCGGGTGACTGTCTGTGTGAGTGTGCACATTCTCCCAGTGTCTGCGTGGGTTTCCTCCAGGTGCTCCAGTTTCCTCCCACAAGCCACAGACGTGCAGGTTAGATGAATTAGCCATGATAATTTGCTCACAGTGTCCAGGATGTGTGGCTAGGTAATTAGCCATGGAAAATGCAGGGTTACAGGGATAGGGCAGGGGTGTGGGTGGGATGCTCTTCAGAGGGGCGGTGTGGACTCGATGAGCTGAATGGCCTGCTTCTGTAGGGATTCTATGATTCTAAGTTGCTCGCATTGTTTCAACAGAACTGAACACCACTTAGAACCAGAAGACTACCTGCATGAAACGTCTTGGCAAAAATTATCAATTTAAACACTGGTGCTATACTGACTAAAGAAACTCCAAAAAGAGTTTTAATCGAACTTTTGCCGAAGGGCCTTTTTCTCTTCTGGAGTACCGTGTGCAGTTCCAGATGCTCTTTTACAGGAAGGATATTACTTAACTGGAGTGGGTTCAGAAAAGATTTGCCAGATGTTGCCAAGAATGGAAGGTTGAGATACAACAATAGATTGGAAAGGCTGGGACTTTTTCCACTGGAGCATAGCAGGTTGAAAGGTGACCTTTTTGAGGTTTATAAAATCATGAGGGGCAAAGATAAAGTGAATTGCAACGGTCTTTTCCCTAAGGTGGGGAGGGCGGGGGGGAAAGAGTTCAAAACTAGGGGGCATATTTTTAAGGAGAGACCAGAAAAATTTTAAAAAAGGACATGAAGGACAATGTCTTTACACAAAGAGTGATTCGTGTGTGGCATGATCTGCCAGAGGAAGTGATGAATGCAGGTACAGTTATAACGTTTAGAAGACATTTGGGCAAGTTCATGAATAGGAAAAGGTTTCCAGGGAAATGGGCATAGTGCAGGCAGGTGGGACTAGTTTAGTTTGGGAACATGGCTGACGTAAACTGGTTGGACCAAAGAGTTTGTTTCCATACCATATGACCCTTTCAATCCCTATCTAGAGTGGCTGTCTCTTTTCCCTAATCTGTCCAAGTCTGACAATGCATTTTAAGTATTTAACACATCAACTTTCTCAACCTTCATCCAAAAAACTCTCAGAATATCTAAACCTTTATCACTATCAATTGACAGCATTCAACTCACCAAAAGGAAAGCTTAATTTCTGATTGACAATGCCAAAGTTTTATCTTGGCTCCTCTTTGATACGTATATAACCCATATCACATCACTCTTCCACTATGGTTCTTTCCATACGTTTCAGGCTCCAAGAATAGAGGGTAACCATATCCAGGCAATGTATTATTTTTCAGCCATTTTTCACAATGGCTACAAAGGCTGTAGTGTTCTGTCTAAATTTCATAGCTTCCAAACTTCATCTTTAGGTGAGCGCTCTCTGCTGCTACATTCTTCTCTGGTGAAGGCTAGAACTTGATTGCACACATTTATAAACAGAGTAACAAATGAGCACATAACTCCTAAATCAGATATCATAGTTCTAGTCAGCAATCTCAAAGCACTCAAGTGACTTTTCCAATTCTTATCTCCCACTTGCATATAATGTGTGATATGAATCCAAGAGAACAGGAAAGAGCTCAAATGTAAACAAAGAAAACTTTGTGCCTAGTTTTCAAAGCTTAATTTGGTTTTAATCCCTCATTCTAAATTAGTTAAGATGATTGCTGGAATGCTGGCCTGCATCTTAACAGTACTCACATGTGATGTTTCAGAGCAATTCAGTGCACAAACCATAGGAAAGACACAGAAGTCATAGGAATCAAAGTATTGGTCGGGTGGGCAGAAAAAAGTAGCAAACAAAATCCAGCTTGGAGACGTGCAAAGTCTGCAAGATTTGCAGAAGTCAAACAGTTAGGCATGGCTTCCCTCAACTATCTGATATGATGACGGTCGAGCTGAATTAAAACACAGCACATTTCTGAAGTTTCATCATCGGATGTCAGGCCCAAAAACACAGGGCACACAGACTAACAAAGTAGGTATGAGCGGTGATCTCAGAAGCTTTGGGTCTAATGTAGGTTTCACACCAGTACAGTCCAAGGAAGTGCTAGACTCTCATAGGCTCCTCGACTTTGACTTTCCATAACAAAAGAATACCGAGTTTTAAATCAAAAGAACAACCCAAAAGAGCAGAGGTTCCATGCCCTGGTCAATGCTAATCTCTCAACCAACACACAAAAGCTAATGTCCTAGTCATTTATATTTGAGAGAAATGCACAAGTGCAAACTGGCTGACGTGTCCTTTATAACCATAATTACACTTTAGGACATCCAAAGGTACCAAATAAGTGTAGGTTTATTCTTTTTTTTAAACAATCAAGTGAGTGAATTAAAGAGAGTCTGGGATGAAGCTGTATCAACATTGGAGGCACGGAGAGATCAGTACGGATGACAGGCCAGAGTTTGCAGATATAGATTTTTAGATGAGAAGAGTATACAGAAATTGTAAATGTTGAGTTTGCCTGGGTCCAGTTATATGATTTATGGTAAAAAGAAAAAATTTCAAATACATGTAGCTGCATACTTATCACTAGCACATATCACTCTCTTCTGTTAGAACAGTTGTTCTATGAGCTGATTTGAAGATTTTTTTTTGGGCTATTTGAGCTGCACTGCATGAGTTCTTTTTGTCCCAAGGGAAGTCAACACAGCTGCGGTGAAGAGCAGAACTATCTGCTAAATTACAGCACAACACCGTGTGTTCGCGGTCAATCAAGCACACTTAGCCTCACTTCACAGCTAAAGTAACAATACAGCAAAGGGGAAACATCAAAAGATTTTTTTTTAATTTCCAGGTACATACGAAATTCTGTTGACGATGGCATCTTCATCCTCATGATCGTCTGCAAAATTAGAAATAGACTTCAGCAACAGATTCATAATCTATGAGTTGGATTAGCCATAATCAAAACACTTAACAGATCCAGCATCTATAATAAATACAGCAATCGCTGAAAACAAACAGGTCAAACAGAATGTGTGGAGAAAATGAAAGAGAAAGGGATGATGTGCCAATTGATCACAAATATATTATTTTCCTCAGAAATTACTTGGCTTGGTTATTCTGTAAGCAGCAGTAAATTCACTTTAAAAGGGGATTTGAGAAAAAGAAAATAGGTGAAGGAGTAGGCTGTTCGGGCTTTCACACCTGCTCTGCTATTCAACAAAATCATGGCTGATCATCCAACTTGGTGCCCTGTTCTCATCACTTTCTCACCCATATTCTCTGGGTGAAGAAACTTCTCATCTGCATCCTAAGTAGCAGACCTCATACCATTAGCCTGTGACCCCAGGCTCTTGATTCCTTGGTTGCTGGGAACATGCCTCCTGAGATTACACATTCTAGTCCTGCAGGATTTTAGGGATTTCCAATGGGATCCCCTCTCATGCTTCTAAATTCCAGTGAATATAGTCAGCACTGATCCAATCCCTCTTCATACTTCAGTCCTGTCATCTCAGGAATTAGTCTGGCAAACATTTGTTGCTCTCCCTTCGTAGTCAGAACTTCCTTCCTCAGACAAGACAACCAAAAGTGCACACAAATACTCCAGGTGTAACCACACCAAGGCCCTGTACAATTGCACCAAGGCATCCCTGCTCCTAGACGAGAATCTTCTTGCTGTGAAGACCTACACACCAAATGGTCTTCCTCACCACCTGCTACACCTGCATCTTACTTTCACAGGCTGGTATACAAGGATATCCCGATCTTTTTACACCTCCACCTTTTAAAATCTATCACTATTCAGATAGTAATCTGCCTTCTTGTTTTTGCTAACAAAGTGGATAGGGTTAGGATTACTTCACGTACCATGCATTTGCCCAAACACTCAAGTTCTACAAATCACACTTTTTGCATCATCAGCTCAACCTGCCACCCAGCTGTGTGTTACCTGCAAGAAGTGCAGTACTCCACCGGTCATTGCCTCAGAACAAGCCCAGTTCATTCCTACTCTATTTCTTGTCTGCCAACCAGAACACGCCAATCCTACGCACCTTAAATTTTACATGTTAATCACTTACGTGGGACTTTATTGAAAGCCTTGTGAAAGCCGAAGTCAACCAGATCTACTGGTTCTCCCTAATCAACTCTTCTGGTTACTTGCTCAAAAAGATACCAGTTGATTTGTCAAGGATGATGATTCTCTCTCTCTCAAATCCATGCTGACCCTGTCCATGCCCATCTTTGCTGTCTATGTGCTCTGCTTTAAAATCTTTTATACTGGACAAGCGTTTCACCACAACTGACATAACGGCTAAGTAGTCTATAATTCCCTGTTTCTCACTGTCTCCTTTTTTCAGAACAATGGGGTTATATTAGCTACCATCCACTCCTTTGGAACCATTCAGTATCTATAGTATCTTGACAGACAACCATCAACACAACTATTTTGAGGGTCACTTCCTCAAGTACTCTGGGAAGTAAATTATTGGACCACAGGGATTTAGTTGGCCGTAAATCTCATCAATTTCCCCTGCTGATAGGGATTTTCTTCAGTCCACCCTTCTCAAGAAACCTTACGTTCGCCAACATTTTTGGGGCATAACCGAACTGTGTCTTTTTGATATCCATTACGAACTTCCCCTATTTCTGATTTTCATTTAATACATCGGGATCAAACTAAAATCCAAAACAAATAAACAAAAGGTAAGTTGGAACCCAACTCGGACACTTAAAAATATGTAGTGGGAATAAACAAATTGGTAGGGAGTCCAATACAAACATTAGGCAGAGCTCTTAGTATCACAGTAATGGCTCCAAAAAGGTAAATGTTGGAGACTGCATTAAGCTTCACCCAATCAGATGGTATCATCCATGCTTGGGTGAAGATATGGAAGAATATCATAGGATCTTGTTGAATATAGACCTACAACCATAGATTTCAGTCTTATTAACCATATTTATCTAATTAACTTTACCTCAATACTATTGCACAATACCTTACAGCATCCTATCAATCAGCTAACCATAACTGTATCGTACTCAAATGCTTCAGAGTCCTTAGATTTACAACCTAACCCAAGTTAACATTTCAGAAGCACCACTACAAACAAAGCAGGAGTGGCAATTTAAGACGTATTGAAGTGATACTGTATCTTTCTGTTGTCAATCCTTTTGCTCTAAATCAAATCCTCTGATGAAGAATCATCTCGACTTGAAATATTAGCTTGCTCTCTCTCCGTGGATGCTGTCTGAATTGCTATGATCTCCAGCATTTTGTTTTCAGCAGTGAAAAACACATTTGATTGGGATGGATAAATTAACTTAAATGACTAAATTAACTTAGACTCGACTGCACAAGTTTCAATGAAATTGTAATCAGTTTAGATAAACAAAAACATGGCTTCCTGAAAGAGTTAGGATCCCCAAGGCTTTTACATTTCAGTTTACAAAAATTTGCTCAACTTATTACAATTCCTTTGACAATGTGCCACACAGGAGGCTGCTACATAAGAGCCCATGGAGGTTGGAGCAAGGTACTGGCTTGGATAGAGGATTGGCTGACTGGCAAAAAGCAGAGAGTGGGGATAAAAGGGTTTTTTTGGATAGCAGCCAGTAATTAGTGGAGTTTTGCAGCAGTCAGTGTTGGGATCACAAATATTCACGTTATACGTTAATGATCTGGATGAAGGAACTGAGGGAATTGTGTCATCTGTAAAATTAGCAAAGACAGGGCAAAGAAATGGCAGATGGAATACAATGTGGGAAAGTATGAGGTTATGCACTATGGTAAGAAGAATAGAGACCTAGACTACTTTCTAAAATGGGGAAAAGGCTTCAGAAATCTGAAGCACAAAGGGTTTTGAGAGTCTTAGATCAGTAAGGTAAACATGCAGGTTCAGTTGGCAGTTAGGAAGGCAAATACAATGCTCGCATTCATTTCAAGAGGGCTACAGTACAAGGGCACAGAGGACTGAGGTTGTACAAGCCTCTGGCCTAACTGCATGTGAAAAATTGTGAGCAGCTTTGGGCCCCATGTCTAAGGAAGGATGCGCTGGCATTGGAGAGGGTCCAGAGGAGGTTTACAACAATGATCCCAGGGATGAAAGGTTGGCCGTTAGAGGAACAGATGAACATTTTGGGTCTGTACCCAATTTTGTGTGTGTGTGTGTGTGTGTGTGTGTGTGTGTGTGTGTGTGTGTGT